CTTCAAATTGTTGGAACCAATATATTAAAACGGGGACTATCGAGGCTTAGAGGCACGTAATCGCTTCTTGAAGATAGTTGAAGACTCTCCCACGTGTAACGGAAGACAAATGGCAGCACTATCTCTGGGATTCAATTAAGCCCAGATATCAAAACTGTATGTTCATGAATGTTGCACTTCTTCTTCATGAACCTGTGTATTTATCTCCGTCCGATCAACTGATAGTATAAAACCCACACACTCAAAATCTATAGTTTGAAAACACCTTTTCAAATCCCTTTTGATTAACTCTAACTAGTTTAAAGAGAGTGTGTATCCGTAAGCTTCATATGCCATACTATTTATACTAATATATTTAGAAGACATGAATTAAGTATTTAATGTAACTCATAAATAACATATTAATATAATAGATTAAATGCATTAGGTGAAGAACTTAAAGCTTAAGTTTAAAGTTTGTAATATCAAAACTTTGTCTTCGTAAATATAGAGTTACTAAAAATTAATTTGAAACATAACTCCAACATGATCTTGGAAAGTAATTGTCCATACCAAGCTCCAAGCAAATGCATAAATTTTTTATAATATTTTGCAGACTGATTGTTCAAATCTATTATTTGTTAACTAATGTAGGTTACACCATTATATAACATGTGATGATATAAGAATCATAAGACCTATCAAAAAGATATATCAGTAAATATTAAAATTTTAAATTAACAAATTGCATAAAGAAAATTGATACGACATTTTGAAGACATTTTGAAAATAAATTAACTCACACAATACAAACTATTGTATTCGAGAGAAGGGAATATAATTTTTAATTGTTTTTACTGTTATGGATGATAATATTATAACTTAAAATTGTATAGTCCCACCATCACTTGTCTTTTATAAAATTTGTATGAGATGACAACTTGACGAGTGACTCATTCATTATGCTTTTTTATCTCTTATTCATAGTATTCAAATTAACTCGGAATGAAGTTCAGATGATACAAACATTCGCATGGATTAAAAACTAGTTTTCTTACCTCTTCTATTAAAAGTATGATACAAACATTCGCATGGATTAAAAACTAGTTTTCTTACCTCTTCTATTAAAAGTATTCTATGAAACTTTTATTCTAAGGAAATTTATTATAGGTTATCATTTTTAAAATTTTATTTTCATAATTCAACTTTAATCCCTCTAAATGAAAATTACTGAACTTTCCTATTATCTAAGCAATAATTATTGAATATATAACAAGCATACGAGAAATCCACAATAAAGAAATATTAAAGTCACTTTTACTAGAGCAGAAAGAAGGTTGGAAATTTTAATATTATTATAAAACTTATCAAAACTAATTTTTTACTAAATTTCACATAAATTCCACTTAACTATCTTTTTCAATTCAATAAAATAAAATAGAATAAAAAGTAAAAAAATAAAAAAATTACAAATTGAACTGTTAAATATAATGCAAAATGACCAAACTATCCTTTAGCATAACTTTATAAGGGGCATTAGACATGGTCACACTATAATTATAATGTGGACAGATTTACCCAATTTAAAAAATTTGAAATCAACACTTGCTCTCAACAATCGTTTGGTTGTTTACCAAAAAGGGTACGTATATTCATCTGATGTGGGTACATCGAATTCTTTCATTGGTTGCAAGTAAAGGAGTGTCCCCACATTCTATAGAAAAGTGGTCAAAAAGTAGATGCATCGATCTAGATATTGCACTTTGATTTGTGACAAATATGCAAAAAGCATAGGAATAAGGACAATCCACCCATTCAGGCAAAAAGAGCAGGGAGGGACATGTTCTTTAACAGGATTGGTACTGGGGGCCACGTGTCTCGTTGCCATTGGCTTCCGTTTGCTTAAGTTATTTGGATTATGAACTAATATAATGTATATATACACAAACATATGACCTTCGGGTATATATACTAATGGGATTTAGAGTTTAGTTCACAAGATGATCACTATGGTTATTGGTTAGGTCATTAAGTCTACAAGTCTATCAATGTAGTTTAATTTTGTAATTTAAGCATTTCTATCACCTACATATTATGAGAGTACGAAAATCCATATCCCAAGGAAAAAGAAAAAGCAAAAGCTTAAGGCAACTTTTAAGCTCTGTTTAGTTGTATAAAATTGGAGTTTGAAATTGAAATTTGTAGAATTAAAAAAAAAAATATCCTACTTTAATTGTTTACGTACAAAGGAAAACTAGAATTCTCTTGCATTTTCCTCATCTATTTCTTGTTAGATTGCATAAGCCCATACCCTAATGAAAAGCACATTCTTCACAACTACCAATAAGGGTGTAATCACGAAAGGGATAAAATCTCAAGGATGTTTACAATTGTCATTGCACACGCATAAAAAGTAGTGTGCTCATGTGGCCAAGTTGTTACAGTACTATTATTCCTTCTGTGGATATACATCCCAACTCAGAAAATGTAATTCACACCTTCTGAAACAAATTTTTTTTTTTTTTTTTGGTATATAATTAATATATACTAGACTTTATGCCAATTTGACAGATATGATTCTAAAGATTGGAGGGATGAGGCAAAGACCACATAGAAGAGGAATATATATATATATATATATAAGGGAAAGACCACATGGGGTGATGACAGATGGAAGGATAATGGCATAAAGCACTTCTCGTTGTGGTAGGGGATTCTTCAACCACCTTTCTCCTCCATGCTTCTTGCCTTCTTGCCAACTTGCGTAATCCCTCATGCTCACTTATTGGAGATGAGATGTGGTGCCTTGTATAAGCCACCAATACTCTCAATATGGCCAACCCCCACATTCTTAGAATTCATCATATAACAAAGGCATTTTTATTTTTATATCATATATATATATATATATATATATATATATATATATATATGTAATGTATATTAAGATATAGACACCCAAAAAAGAAAGAAAAGAAAAACACACTCTTATTTTAAAGAGCAAATGCAATATTTTTTGCATACCTAGAAACACCAATATATATTCCCACATATATAAAGGAAAATAATTTAGTGGCTAAAAGGGCCAACCGAATGGGTAGCTGATCGAAGTGCTCCCTCCCCATCCACATGATGGGTGGTGTAGGATCCAAGTGCTCGATACCCATCCACATGATGGTCTGTATTGTCACCTCACACTTTCAGAACCATCTTTATTATGCAAACTAAACAAACTAACGTCAGATTGAGAAAGAAAGGCAATACATCACTCCAATTAATCAACACGTTAATTTGAATGACTACCCTTCCTCTATAATAGGGTGGGATCTGAATATAACTACTTTGTTTATGTGAATATTTTTTTTAGTTTTTGCCACGCATTATGCTCAATTGAGAACCATATCCTTTGTTTCTTGGCACACATGCATGCATGCCTTCAAAATCAGCATTCAATGTCCAGTGGTGTTGCTCTCGACACGTCTACTATATATTTTTTAGCTGCATAAAGGAGTTTATTCTCACAGTATCAAACTACTCCTTGGGTTCTTATTCTAGGAAAATCAGCCTTTGTAATCTAATACAGTGATAATTAATATATATCTTTCTCTTTCTTTCTTTCTTTTTCAGTAGTTGATAGTTACTAATATATATATATATATATCATGCATGACAATGAAGGCACTGATCGGTAACAGTAAACATTCTAGAAAACATTAATGTAGGCAAGTATTACTAAATTTCAAGTTGGGGTTGCTTGACATCACATAGGAAAATGGTTTACAAGTAGAACATTGCATGCAATATGGCACAGATCTTTTCCTATAAATAGAGGGTGTGGGAAGTCCTTAGTTTATAGCAAGTTGAACTCTAATCACTCTCTCTCTCATATATATATATATATATATATAGTTATATCTACAAACAATAGGGAGAGGAGGAAGTGGGTGGTGCTGTTGACAGAAGATAGAGAGCACAGATGATATTGAAATGCAAGGAGTCTGCATCTCACTCTTTGTGCTCTCTATTCTTCTGTCATCACCTACAACCCCTCACTCCATTGGATTAATTACTCGTATTACTACCAATATTACTATGCATAAAAGCCTAGCTGGAATGTGTCTATGCCTCTCTCTCTCTCTCTCTCTCTCTCTCTCTCTCTTACTATACATATAGTATTATGCATACATATATTGGGAATTAAGAGGAGGTAGTGGTGATGCATGCTGTTGACAGAAGATAGAGAGCACAGATGATGAAGTGCATGCATTGAGTCTGCATCTCACTCTTTGTGTTCTCTATTCTTCTGTCATCACCTTCAGCCCCTCTCTCCCATAAGGATATACAGTTATTACTACTATATATATATCACCACTGCATGCCATGCATCACTAAGAATATTTACGACCTTGGGATGCGTCCTAGGCAGGCCCCCCCATCTCTCTCTCTCTCACAAACATACACACACATATATATAAGAAGAGAGGAGGCAATGGAGACGTTGTTGACAGAAGATAGAGAGCACAGAAGATGAAGTGCAGAAAGTCCTACACCTCACTCTTTTGTGCTCTCTATTCTTCTGTCATCACCTTCAGCCCCTTGCTCACCTCACTGCACATGTTCATACCTCGATCTGACCCTAATTTCTTAATCATAAATATCTATTGAAGTAAAAAAAAAAAATTGTTGATCATGTTTTTCTTCTCTCTGCTTGTATATTTGTATAAGTACATATTACCACATATAACTCTTACTAGATCAGACATCCAGCCCCCCTCCATAAACATTGACGAGACAGACAACAATACTGGGGAAGCCACGGTATGAAGCAATTCAAGACATTGAAGCCGCAGACTCTCAAGATCAAGGCCATCCTCCACATGCTACCTTCAAAGAGGGGCAACCTTTTCTCGACTGCCAAGGCCAGAACTATGCATGACTTGATTCAATTTACATACCTCAATTCAGTGTGTGTATTGATTCTTACATTTCTTCTCATATACAAAGGCACTATATATATGATATTTCTTAGTTTTTTTTTTTTTTTTTTTTCGATAATTATGATATTTCTTAGTTGTGTAACTTGTGTTGCTTGATAACTTTTATTTTATGATATTTTTTATAATTACGTGTTTAATTTTGTAAAAAGATGACAAAAGCATGTCAACAAATTTTCTTTTGGCTTTGGGAAAGGACGAAAGGTTAAGCTAGTGTAGTGGGTCCCCAAAGTGGGAAAGCCAGATTCAGGCATATGAACAGAAGCAATGGGCTAGGCACAAATGTAAACAAGACTATAAAAAGGTCTTGGGAGCTACCCAAGACTACAAGCCCAGCATAGGCATTCAAACAACCGTTTTAACCGCTATAAACTGTACCCGGTGACCACACGAGGATATCCTCAAACCCCGACTAAATCAAGGCTTAACCCGGTGACCACATTTTCTTATTCATTATCATTTTATTTGATATCTACTTTCCGCCTTAAAATTGCTTTATGCAGTTCTTTTATTTCTGCTTAACTTGCTAGAATAACTAATGGGCATAGTATATAATGTCATTCATCACACCCTACAAGTGGAATAATTTCCTCGTGTCTTTTTCATTCCTCCTCAAGAATTGATTTGTTTCTTAAAGAAGTGTACTGCAATATTTCCTTGATAGACACGCATACAAACATAGACTACATAAGAACTAAAACCACTATCAAAATCAATGAAAAATTTGAATATCAGAAAACATTTTCTCTTGCCAGTATGGGATGTTAATAGTTAAGACAGTTAAAATGCAACCACAAAATGTCGTCTAGAGAACAGCTTATTATTTATGACTTACTCATTCAATTCTCTGCTAAAACTTTTCCTTCATACATCCTCTCCCTTGCCTTGGTTGACTGCAAATGAAGAATCTCAAATAATCACTTAACCGGTCAAAGTCTAAAAAGTACTAAAAGACCACACAAATTCAATTCAAAGTGGTTATGGAATATCTAATTAAATTCTCCCACATAATTAAACATCAAAGAGGACACTAAATGTTAAAAAGAAATAATAAATCAACTTCAGTGAAAAGTTTGGACAGGTAACCTGTTTTTGCCAATTTGTAAAACTTGTTATGAGGAAAAATAAAGTTGCCTGTACTGTAGACCCTGTTAAAATTCCAATCCAAAGGCCTTTCCCTCTTAAATTCAGAGCAAAACCCAAAACTGCAGCTACAGGAATTCCAATAAGATAGTATGCCCCGAGATTGACATAGGCCCCGATATGTTGCAATCCGCTTCCTCTGGCAACGCCTGATGCAAAGAAGAAACTAAGATTGTAATATTTATTATGTGAATTCAGATTCAGAGTGGTAAAATGCCGCCTCCTATATGGAGCTCCTAAATACCCTCCACATCAAGATGAAACATGGCAAAGGGTAAGAGGCTAACCAGAAAGTACCGCTTGTAAGCTGTCCATTATAACTGACAAACAAAGTAGAGGAGTCATTTCTTTGACATAATCAACAACTTCCTTCTCACTGCTGTAAGCATATCCAAGAACATAGCGGCAACAGAAGAGAATTGTACTTATTATAATCGCATCTGCCCCACCAAGAACTGTTACCGTCCATGCAGCCACTCTTGCTGCCTGTGGGTTCCCGGCTCCTAATTCATTTGAAACTCGAGTGCTACAAAAATGGTTAATATGTTCTTTAAAATTTCATGTTCATACAGATTTGTGTACAAGGATGTGTAGATATTACACTCTAAACAAGTTTAGATCAAACCTCACAGCTGCACTAAATCCATAAGGTATGAAGAAGTGCAATGCAGTGGTGGTAAGGCTGCAATTATTTATCATGAAAGGTTAGAAGCACTCTTATTCAAGGTCCCCAAATCATAATATTTGGAAACATTAAAGAAAGAAGCTTACCATATTGAAAGCACTGAAGCTTCAAGTTTCGGATTTGGTAAAAGCCCAGACAGCAGAATAAGCAACTCAAATGACCACCATTCAAGACTAAATCATTGTAAAGCAAAAAATTAAGGACAAAAATCAACCTATTTTACTGTGTGTGTGTTTGAGACCAAGTGAAGAAAAATATATAAACATACCAAATCATTACAGCAGAAGGGATCCCAATGCTGAAGAACTCCCAAATATTAAGAAAAATTTCGTTTGAGAACTGGAGGCGAGTCTTCTCACAGGATGAAGAATACATCATGTATAACCAAAGCAGTAGCACATTCAACCAGTACGATACGCCAACGGCTAATGCTGCCCCGGTGCTTCCTAATTCCAGCTTAAACACCAGAAACCAGCAAAGAGGTACATGTAGACAGAGGATTGTGCATGAACTCAAAAGCATTGGAAGGATTATACTCTGAGTCTGGAAGTAGCGAATGAGCGATTGAAGAATTGCATAACCAAATAGTGCAGGGATGAGCCAAATAGCGTATTTACCAGCTTCATATGAGATTGAAGGGTCTTGGCCTATGAATACTAGTAATTTGCCCAGGAAGATCCATACCAAACATACCGGGAGACAAACCATCATGAGAGAGATGATGGCAGTGCAAGTGTAAATTCCAACCTTTTGGTATTGCTCTGCTCCATAAGCTTGGCCGCATAGAGTTTCCAAAGCGCTAGCAAATCCTAACTGCTTCCAGTTGAAAAAATTAGTTAGTAGATTCTTCGTGCAAATAATGCTAATATTTAAGCCTGTATCTGATCCATCGTTTTTCCTAGCATCCCCAATTGGCAGTTTAACTAAGTTATGACATTTGCATCCTTTTATGATAAGACTTTCATGAACTTGTTTTGATTACCCTTAAAACTAACAAAAATATCTAAATCATCTTGGTTATTGTGATGTATGTCATTCAGTCATGCCATCCGGAAAATGATAAATCAATAATATTTTTCCTATGCAGTGAATTATGTCAAATTTGAGGCCCATCCACAAAATCATAAGCTAAAAAGATAGTTCACCTAACAGTATTAACTAATTAATTTTAGCATATAACTTGTAGAAACTTCTAAACTGTATCCTCAGCACATTTAAAATAAGATGTCAAAGTCAAAGGAAATTGAATAATAAAAAAAAAAAAAAAAAATTGTAGGTCTCAACAACTCCTTACTAATAAATATATTGAGGATTACAAGGATAATGGATTAATAAAATAAACGCGAGAATTGGGCACCTCAAAATTGTAATGGATTAATAAAATGAACATGAAAATTGGGTAGAGGATATTTCTACCTTTAACAATGACCTCGAAAACTAAGACGAGAACTCTTTTTATTAATACAAAATTAGATAAGATACCCTAATGGCATTTGGATTCTGTATTCTTGCATTGTATTCAAAACCCATTGTTTGGGTCTTATTCAGACGATCGAATGTGAGCTAGAAGAAAAAACCGGAGTACAAATGAGGAAGAAATACGTATCATGATATGAATAAATCAATATATTCCAAACAAGAGTAACTCTTAACTCCTATCAAATAGCTGCCAACTCATCATGCCTTGTCAAACCTCATACGCCATCTGGGATGTTTCTGAAAAGCATCGACCATACAATCAATGATTTATCATGCCATATATTAGCTTTAGCCTTTAGCTTAGTTTGGTGAGTTTTACCATATGGTTACTGTAGTTCTTCCCAAAATGAAAGAATGATTGAAAATCTATTCCTCCATTCATTTTGATTACCAAAACTTAAAATCTATTATAGCTTTTCCAAAAAAAAAAAAAAAAAAAATCAACAAAAAGCATGCTGACTATTGCGAACTAATGAACTTTCAAAATACAAGGTACACATGAGTTATGAAATACAGTATATATAAGAACTAGTACAAACTAGGCTAACAGGTGATGAGAAGGAAGAAGAGATTACGAGGAGACTGAAGCCGGTGACGCTGGATAGAGAGGAGCCGATGGCGACGCTGGAGAGAGCGAGTTCGCCGAGGTGTCCTACCATCATCACAGGCACAACTTGCAAGAGATACTGTGACACAGTCACTGCCACCATTGGAGCTGCTATCTTGCTCAACTTCTTCAATTCTTCCACAAACACACCCTGCGTTTCCACCCATCTCCTCTCTTCTTTTTCTGGCAATAGTGCTTCATCCATTTCTCTCTATCTTCTTTCTTTTAACCCTCTCCGAGAAAAGACCAATCAAAGCACAATGCTTGAATCACCTATTTAATATGGTGACTGACAGAAGAAACAACAATTAATGCTATGTAAGCACGAGATCCTCCGCATACAGTGCATGTGTTGTATACTAGTGGACGGTTTAGATCAAATCATCAGTATACTAGACGATCCAGACTCTATAAGTACTGTCAGCTCAATCTACAAATTATTTTCTATAAGAAAATGCACGTCGTGTTATTCATGATTAAAGCAAGTGACACCGACATCAAAAAGAGACAAAAAAAAAAAAAAAGAACAAAGAAAAACAGATTTTGCCTTCTAACAACATTATTAATTGCATGTGGACCACATATGTTTTTTTTTTTTTTGGTGCTAGTAAATCATTTTATCCATCATTTAAAGCAGTATCAACTTAGTCAAAATTGATAAAGTTACAAAGATTTTCAAGGATTAACTTCACACGGGTGTGGTACTGTGTGAAGTGATCATACTCTGTGGTGGTATTTAATCATATAGTAAGGTTAAATGACAATAATAGTAGAGAAAATTGTCTTTTACTCAAATCTTATCCAAATCCTCTCTCGCATTCACCTCCTTATTAGTTTATTGCTCGTCTGAGTCGTCATCATCACCAAGAAGTGATTATAACAATCAGAAACACAATAAGAAGATTTGGTTGATGTGATTATACGTATTTCACAAATATAAACAAGAAAATTACAGGGTTATTAAAAACACAATATAATTCCAGCATAAATCCAACAGAATTGACACCCTTTAAGGTTTGTAACTAATTTCATTACCCAATAAGAAAAGGCTTCACCTAAGACTTGTCAGGTTTCTTGAAACCACGGATGTACTCGACGAAATCGCCCCATTCGTCGTCGTCGGTGTTGGAGTTTCGACTGTTGATGTAATCAGATTGGACGGTCTGACTGGAGAATTAAACGAATTTAAAGTCACCAAAACTGCCTTCGTCGTCCTCTGCTTTCGTTTCTGGTATATAGTCGAAACTCTATCTCAATATATATCTCCGATTCTCTGGTTTGAGTATGCGTACGTTAGATGCGTATGGTTAATGCGCATGCTAGGCTTGTGCGCGCGCTGTTGAATATACTTTAGTTTCGTTTCCGTGATTTATTTAGTTAGGGCTCCAAATGAATCAAAGGTTGGTCGTTTAAGACGTGTGCGTGCATATAGTTTCGCATGTTCGTGAATATGGATTTCGTATAGGGTTCTTTTTTTTTCGGAAGATACCGTATAGGGTTCTTACACATTCATAAATATATAATAAACTGGTATAAATTCATGAATAAAATTAAATAATTTTCAACCCTTATAAAAAATTTGTTATTAAACAGGTCAATAACAACTCAAAATTGACTTGATTCATTTCATTTGTAGTCCAATTTTAGTTCCCTTACACTTTAGGCATCACGTAACTCTAAATAGTTAATGACAGGACCCGTAGTTTAAATTGTTATCGTTAAATATTCTCTTAGTCTCAAATTAATGCCAGTGTTTTCGTAAGTTATTATTTTCAAAATAAGATATTTAATTTAAAACGAAAATAATATTTTTTTTAATTTTTATCATCGAGTGCAAGTTAGAACTGTGTTAAAATCGATGCTGATTGAACTGCCCATGCTGCAGATTGTTTTATTGATTGATATTTCATATTCAATGGTTCACTGACTTGAATTGCCAATTTATTTATTTATTCTTCGTAAAGCATCAAATTTAAAATTCCTTTTTCTTCTTTTCATTTTTTAATTTTCCTTCAACAATTTTTATCTTTTACCATCGGCTTTTCCAATTTTTTCCTTTCTACACTTCCTTTTCTTCTTCTAAGGAACTAAATTTTCTTCAAAAAATTCATCTTTTATCTTCTTCAGAATCTTCACTAATTTTCAAGTGGAAAAAACTGTTCGTCTTCAATCATTACAGCATATAAATTCAAAGTCTTCTCCAATTGTCGTTACAACATTCACAAACTCAGAACATTCAAACTGGCCAGTCATTGCAAAGACAATGAAGGCATAGCGCGCGCACACTCTTTACACACACACACACACACAGGAACTGGAGCAAAAGAAAAGTATAAAAAGGTCAAGATAACAACCCCACCTTCATTCACTCATTTTACTAATTGCCGATTGGACGAAAAACTGGAGTACAACATATTTCAAAACAGCAGAAAATAGGGGGAAAATTGATAATATAAATTTATAATATGTATTTTTGTTGCCACATAATCAGATCAAACTTGAAATCTATGTACTCCAGTGATGCACATCTAATTCATCTAATCACAATCTTACCCTGCTTTTATGTCAACTGTTACACAATTTGCTTCAGCTGCTGACTTATTCAATCAAGTTCTTCAACATCTCCTGGAATGCCGAAGAACAGATAAACCAGAGTTATGATCTAGTGTAGATGCTAGCAGCAACTAGCTGCTAGATTTAGAAATTTTACATTATTAAACAGCGTAACAAAGGACAAACGAACCAAATTGAAGTCTTACCTCAATTCTTGTGCTGCATCCTCCCGCTTTCTGAACCAGCGAATGGATCAATTGTAACATTTATCACAGCTGGCTTCCGTGCAGAAAAGGCTTCAGTAAGCGCAGACTTGAGTTCTTCAGGTGTCCCGACAAGATAACCTTTCCCCCCAAAAGCTTCCATGACAACATGATATTTCGCACCAGGGACAAAAGACGTGGGCGCTGGATCACTTTTGTGAGGCCCTGTAACTTCTTCAGGGCTCCTGCGGTCACCACCATATACACCGCCATTGTTAAAAACAATCACCACCACAGGCAAATTGTATCGAACCAATGTCTGCAGTAGTTCAGAAAAAACACACACAACAAAATTATTTCCGATAAGCAGAAACCAGATAAGTAAAGCTAACATGACATTGTCATGTATTGGCATTTGAACGGTTTGTGGACAATAAGTATTGTCATAGGAAAATATATGACAGGGAGAAGAATATGGAAGTTGGATGGAATGACCTAATAGATAATATGGCCCTATGGCTGTACAAGGAAAATGATTTTTGAAGCCAAGCCTTTGTTGCAGTTCTTGTAATCAAGATAAATGAATAAACAACAACATGAACACAACAACATTTCTAAAGAAATATCTAGTTTACAAATAAGAAGATTAACTAATCACTGGCTAACAATCAAAATTCAGTATAATGGCTAACAGATCATCCAAGAGAGCCACAGAACGAATTTAAAGAAGGAAAAAAGAGGGGTGGGGGACACAAAATTAGCTGAATCAATTAAGCCATAAAAAATGTTCAGTTCAGATTTCTAACTTGAATCCAGACCATGCCAATGTGAAACCCATCTATTTTACCTAATGTGAAGATTTCAATGCTCACACTATCCTTTCTAGAGATGCCAGATAATTAGAGGATAGAAGATCTTCCGAAAAGCTAAACTGAACAAATTTGGCAGTTTTGAAACCAATTACACGCCTACAATCTGTTATACTTCTAAAAATGTAAAAAGCAGCCTTGCTATTTATTAGAAAGAGTATTTGAGATGAGCTGATAAAATCTCATGTCAGGAAAAGAACAAACAAAGAGAGAACAACATTTTATTTTACAATTCTGCTCTATTTAAAACATATCCAGTGCCTAGCACAATATCAAAATTCTTCACATTTAATGCACATAGGGGTATGATATATTTCATCTAGTACAGCCATTTTACTTGTGAGAAGGACAAATTCTGAGACACATATATGAACTCGTTAAGGAAGAAAAGAAGTAGGAAAAGGGTACAATGGCAATCCTAAGAGTACAGCTATAGATTGTAAAACCACTATCCACAATGGCCAAAAATGAAATATATCTTATTGGCTCTAATTGTTATAAAAAATAAAATAAAAAAAACTTATAGCAAAGGCACAAGGATAGTCTTATCCAACACTGATGAATCGCTTCCTTTTTTCTCATTCTTCCATCAAGATTAACTTCAACTTTCTAAGATCTTTCAAGGTGGATTTGGCCTAATTAATTCAGTATGATTTTTGAAAAGTTCAACCAATTTTGAGGTGCTTTTAGAAGATAAACAGTTCTTTATGAGCCACAATTTCAAAGAGAGCATAATGGTAGAAACATACAAAAATTAATGCTATCTATGTCTAAAAAAGAGCCCATCAACCACCTTCACATGAGATATTTCTCCACCAGCCAGAAAAACAATTCAAACTATATAAGTGGTTCTCATTTAAGAGCCAGATCCCCCTTCTTCCTCTGGAATTTATATCCACTTCCATAGCACTAATTAAGGAGATCAACACATCCTTTGCATGTGGCTAACTTGATAACTAATGCTTTATATTGGCATCGAATTCACACTCCAGCAATAATCATCACACCTCATGAAATATAGATATAAATATATATATATATATATATATATAGAGAGAGAGAGAGAAAGAGAGAGAGAGAGATTGAAAGTGTACATCTAGACTTCGTATGCATATCAATGGAGGAAATGACGTAGAGCAAAGTCACACAGATACGCATGGCTCTGCAAGTACTAAAGAAAACATGGGGTACCATGTCACCATGTCCAACATGGTGATCAACAGAAAGTTCAAGCTTCCTCGTACAAGTAACTGGAACATATAATAAATCCTTAACTTGTTGGACCATAGCCAGGAAGATGAAATTAAAGCGCACTGTCCTACCATTTAGATAGAATAATTGTACCACTTTAATACACCAACTCTCAGAAGAACTTACTGGACAATAAAAATATAATTAGTTAAAGTATCATTAATTTATTGCTATTTAGCTAACCCAAAGAAAATGTCCCAAAATGAGTATTTTTTGGATGGTTGTTTAGATCAATGAGAAGAAACACCATCTAAAAGCATACATGATAAATTCATAAGCATGACAATACCAAGAAAATTCGATAATTATCAATAAAAATTCATAAACATGAAAATACCAAGAAAAGTTGTCATTAATTTACAGCTAATATATTTAGCTAACCCAAAAAAGTCCCCAGATGAGTATTTTTTGGATGGTTGTTTAGATCAATGAGAAGACACACCATCTAAAAGCATTCAGAGTAAATTCATAAGCATGACAATAGTCACAATACCAAGAAAATTCAATGAAGAAAAAAGTCCCCAGATGAGTATTTTGATGGTTGTTTATATCAATGAGAAGACACACCATCTAAAAGCATACATAGTAAATTCATAAGCATGACAATAGTCACAATACCAAGAAAATTTAATGATTATTCATATACAAACCAAATGAAATTCATAAATATTACATGCAAATGCAAAATTCGTGTGAGTGCGCATACATATCTTGTATTTAGGTTGACAGTCATCCATGCATGACTCTTGATTCTTTTTTCTTTTTAATTAGTAGAAAATGGTGATTGATATAGTAAGGTAACTATAAGTGTAACCAGCTGATCACATATTACTCCACAGTACATAATACATGACAACAATGTAAACAAAGACCAAGCCATTCATCGAAGGGTTGGGCTTAACTTATATATCGGCTCACCCACCTCATTTGGCAAACACACCAAGATGGATACATAAACTTAAAACCAGTTGAAACAGAAAAAGTAATATGTAAATACCACACAAAACCACTGGATTTTTTTTTTTTTGTCATGCTTATAAAATTTTCAAAATCAAAATCTGCATTACCATTGATCATAGATTAAAGCAATTAGGAAGAGTATATAAGGATTTTCAATATGCACAAGCATTATTGTATAATAAGCATAATTCCACAGAAGGTAACTAACCTCAACTTCAATGGCACTGAACGTGAATCCAGAGTCTCCTTCAACAGCTACTACAAGCCGATCAGGCGAAGCCGTTGCCGCGGCAATGCAATAACCCAGACCAACCCCCATTGTCCCCCAAGTTCCTGCATCCAACCTAGTCCTCGGCTCAGTTTGAATCAACACAGAACGACCAACATCCATTGTATTCGCTCCTTCCGAAACCAAAATCGGAGCAGGACTTCCCAATCCTAGAATTGCATCTCTTATAATTCTCATCGGTGTTTGAAAGTTAAATGGCACCACATCCTTCACCAACTGAGCCTCCATTTTCGACACATTCTCTTTGGCTTTCTTTGAAATTGCTTCAACCCAAGGATGAGTCTTCCCCAAACAAAAAGGGTCATCCTTAATCTCCTTATTAATCATTTCCACAACCCCTTTCGCATCCCCAACTAATCCCAAACAGGGTTTTCGTAGCTCAATTTCTTCCTTGCTTATGTCAACTAAGATAAACTTCACATCCTTTGACCACTTTGGTGGCTCTCCAAAATGTAGCAACCAATTCAGCCGTGCACCAACAACCAGAGCAACATCACATTTACCGATTGCAAGCGACCTTGCCGCCGTCGCGGCGAGCTCATGGGTATCAGGTATCAAACCCTTCCCCATTGGAGTAGGCAGAAATGGAATTCCAGTAGTCTCCACCAGTTTTTTCAATGCATCTTCAGCTTTAGCATAAGCAGCACCTTTGCCAAACACAATCAAAGGACTTTGGGCATTTCTTAACAATGAAACTGCTTTCTGAATTTCAGATTGCCCAACTGCTTCAATCACTTCTGGTTTTCTACAACTCTCAGCATCAGCCAATAGTTTATCAGCTTCAGATTCTGTTACAGTTTGGTGAAGCACATCAGTGGGAACGTCCAAGTAACACCCGCCGGGTCGGCCCGCCACGGCATGGTCGAGAACATCGAAAACACATTTGGGGATTTCTTTGATATCTGTGGCTTTTGCGGAAAATTTCGAAAAGGGTTTCACAGCGGCGATCTGATCGAGTTCTTGGAAATCTCCGCGGCCGAAATCTTTCTGATCGCAGGAGCCTGAGATCATCACCAACGGCCAAGCGTTGGCACCGGCGTTGGAAACGCCCGCGAGGCCGTGAACGCAGCCTGGGGCGGAGACGGTGAGGAGGACTCCGGGCTTTCCGGTGAGGTAGCCGTAGGCGGAGGCGGCGTATCCAGCGGACTGCTCGTTGTGGAAGGCGAGGAATCGGATTCCGAGAGCAACGGAGCGGTTGGCGAGGGAGGTAACGGGGATGCCAACGACGCCGAACATGTGCTCTACGCCGGCCTGTTTAAGGGATTTGGCGATGAGGAGGTTGCCGTCGACCATGGCTGTGTTATCTGCCATTGGAACAAAGCTGGGAGGATTGATGTAATTTCACCCAAAACTGGAATTTAAAAAGATTTATATGAAATACCCTCCCAACTCAGTAAGGATGGTCTAGATGAAACTAATTGGAGCCTTGTCGTGGTGGAATGATGAGGCAGTGTAACTGAAAAGTCGAGATTACCCTTGGAAGAAGAAAATTTGAACTTGAACTCCTTTTATTTCGGGATTAGTGTTCTTAAATAGCTTTACGCACTGGCCTGTGTTCCTAATCCATTGGATTAGCACAAGATCACTTCGCTGTAAGACTATTTTTGTGATGGGACTTTTTCAATTAAACTAGTTCATATTTTTGGATTTTTTATTTTTGAAAAGCTAAAATTAGATGACATTGGATTACATTGCCACTTAATGACCGATTCCAATTTAAACTCTTATATTAAAAAAAAAAAAAAAAATCCATAAAAGTGTAATAATATATTTAAAAAAAAATTATAAATATCAGTGTTGATTAAAATGAATCATTAAGTTTAGAAATTAAAACCATGATAGTTTTTCAAAATCCGACTTTATCAGAAGAATTGTTTTGAAATCTTTTATGAATCAAAGAAAGCCCAAGTAACACATAACTGTCTCTCGTGGAGATTTATTAAAACCTCATTTTTTAAAATAAATTAAGCCCTCTTCACTGAGATGGAAAAAGTATAAGTAAATGTTTATTTACAAAATATGAATATAAATATGAAATGCGAGTATAATATTATATGAGACTTGCGGCAATAGGACTACCTCTGAATAAATATGATAAATTTTTAAAAAAAAAAAAATTAGGATACAAATATGATGAAGATGGATTAAAAATATATCATTTTATATAGAAGTAATAATCACAAATAAAATCATTAATAGATGCCTATTTTATTTCTTTCTAAAATGCTACTACAACATTAATTTTTAATTTTTAATTTTTAATTTTTAATTAATTGATATTTAAATTTATCCTAACAACAATAATTATGAAACAAACCATTATGGCGTATATTGACTCAAGAGTGTTCAAACGTGTTCAATCATACTTTTATGTCCTGTCCCAGCAAGCCACCACTAAAAGTGAATATGTAATTACTAATATGCCCTCAGATCTTGGTAAGAATATTGGTTTGAGAATATGAACCGGCCAAAATGAAGCCTGTGCTGGACTAGTGGAAGAACAAAATTTGTTCTTGAATACCAGATATATATATATATATATATATATATATATATATATATCTGGTATTCAAGAACAAATTTTGTTCTTCCACTAGATATATATATATATATATATATATATTTCTATAAATCACATCTGATTTTTAATTTTTTTTCTTCTGGGTAGATCGCATCTGAAATGGTTGTTACCAAATCAACTTAAAAGGCTGCTTTGTGTGGAACCAAATTCTTTTGGGAAATGGAATTGTAATTAAAATAGAATTTTATTTACACATTGGAATAAATTGAATTTTGTAAAAACAAATTTAAAAAAAAAAAATGTCTAATTTGTAAGATACGAGATAGATTTGCAAAATAAGATACCGTTAAAACGGTTTGTAGAAGGGTAGTTTGGATAAACCAAATTCCTTCAAATTCTTTCAAATTTTCTCCTATTTTCCAAGATCCCTTCAAATCCCCTTATAAAATTCAAAATTCTAAACAATTGAAATTCCTTTTGAAATCCAATTCATGGAATGAGCTATTACCTTTCTCTTTTACGTTTCTTTCACATTGGTCCAGCCCAAGACTCCTTGTGGGCAAATCCAGTAGATCAACGGATCGGCCTAAGGCCCTAGCAGTGGGCCTAGTCTGGCTAAATCTCAACCCCAGTAGGCTCTTCAGAAGCTCACATTAGCGGTTAATATTTTTATATATTTTATAGATGTGTCCAGTTTTATGAAATTGAAATTTTAAAATTAAAATTAGAGAAAATTTTAGTTCAATTTTATAAACAATTTTTCTTTAATTTCATCAATTCCAATTTCATGCAGCCCGAACGCACAAGACGTGGGTTAATTAAAACAAATAATATTATATGAGACTCAATGAAAGGATAACATAAAAAATAAAAAAAAATGAAAAAAAAATCAACTGAGTAAAAAATATAGAGATATGTAATTATTAGAACATAATTTAAAATTATTTAACACAAGTAATAACTAATTCATAAATTTTAAGTCGTTGAATTAAAAAGATGCAATACTTACTCTTATTTTTACTAAATTAATGAATAATAATAGATTTAGGAAAACGATATTCGCACTTCACTTTTCTCCAGTTATACTACATTTATCATTTTCTTTTAAAGAAAATGATGAATTGCTAAAAAACCCCTCGACTTTCACCAGTTAGCAAAAAAACCCTTTTTGAATTGTTTTAGCAAAAAATCCACCTCAACTATCATGAAGGGAATATTTTAACTACGGTATACTTAAGGGATTATATTTTGAACGAAAATACTCCTTGAACAGTTACCCTTCGTCAAGAAATTTTTTTTTTTTTTTTTTCTACTTTCACTCTCTAATCTCTCAATCTCCTCCTCCATCCCATGCCACCACAACCCACCTCCGTTAACAGTAGTAACACCTTTGGGACTGATCCTGGTTGGATTTTGTTAATTATAAAGTATAAAGGAAAGAAAAATAGAAAAACTATTTTCTCTGTATTAGCACACAATTCACGAGTTTACACATGTTGTAATACCCCTAGTTTTAAAAAGGATAAAATTGAAATTTCAATTATTTTTAATAAATTATTTGAGTATATTTTTGTTTGATAATTGTTTATTTGTGGTTATTATTTGCTTTTAATTGCTTTAGTTGATTTATTTGAGATTATTTGTATTTTGTGTCTTATTTGTTTTAATTGCATTTAATTTTGTCATTTAATTAATTATTTTTGTTACATTGAACTTGATAAGCTGTTTGTTTTAAAATTGACTTATTTGGTAATTGTTAAATTTAATAGGTTAAATATGTAAATCCATTAACTAAGGTTTTAAATATGTTTTCAGTTAGGGTTTTCTTGGAGCCGTCATACAAGTATCTAACGTGTATGTGACTTAAGTTTATGGGCCGACTCTAATTTAATTAGGATTTCTGCCTTAGCTCTAGTTTAATTAGGGTTTTCTAAGAGCCTATATATATATATGTGTATGAGTTTCACTAAGGGTTTTGGAGAACCCTATTCACGGCACAGTGAAAATAGGACGTAACAGAGAGGGAGTTGAGAGAACAGAGGCAGTCGTAAGAGCTACCAAGGACAAGAATAGAGAGGATCAAATGAGGGTTGTGGTGGTTTAAATCACACCCATAGGAGGCTTAAAGGAAGTTAATAGTTGTCGGAAACTTAGAGACGATGCTGGGGTTTTCATAACTGAAATCAGGCAAGTTCTTCTACTTTCTCCTTCCCTTTGGCTCGTGTTCTGTGCACCTAGATAATCTCTAGGGTTTAATCAATCAGTAACTGAAATTTACATGCTTAATATATGTTATATTAATAATCTGTTTGTGTTGAAATCAAAACTGTTACAATTTCTACATGTCTCGTTCCAGTTGTTTTTCTGTAAGCATGTAATCTCTGTTGTAACTTTAGACTTAGTAATTGATTTGAACTACTGCAAACAAAACCATGGGGACATTACTGGGATAAGATAAGATCCTTAGGTTCAATGGTGAAGAGGAACAGAGGGGTTGGAATTGGACTGAAACTTCTTAGATTAGTTTAAGAGTTGTTCTTCAAGTATACTGGTTTAATGGCTTTGTTTAATCTCTATAGTTTGATTTCAAATTGTTGTAAACAAATCTTGGGGATGATTTTAGGCTTTAATAAGACTCTTAACTTAGTTTTAAAACCAAACATAAAGGTTGTAACTGGCCGGAGTTGGAACAGAGGTCAGAACAAAGCTGAAACAGAGGGATAGCTCACAGGAGGAAAGAGAGCCGGCTCTAGAATGCCAAGAGCCGGCTCCCACCTGTTTAGAGCCGGCTCCAAGGTGGTGGTAGAGCCGGCTCTATGCTGATTTGGAGCCTGCTCTATTTTTCTGGAGCAGGCTCTTTCATTTTGAAGCATACAGTGACTTTTTGGCTACTATTTGGACACTTAGGGTTCTTGAACAGTTTTAAAACTTTAGGGGGCTTTTCAATAATTAATTTAACATGTAATCAAGGTCTTAGATTGCATAAAATACCCTCTTTGTATAAATGGAATTAACAGTGCGCTAATTAACAACTTGCACGCGGTTAACTACTAGAAGGAAGTTAAGTTGCCTAATTTCAATTTGACAATTTAAGGTGCGACAATATGATTCTAAATTAAAGTTTGGATGTATAATGGAGTCTTTTAATTAACAAAATTAGACTTGTAGCATATTGTGGCTCTGTGCTAAAAGATTAAACAGTATACTAGTATATAACTTAGCATGCTGTTATCGGATGGAGAGAATTAACTTGCTAAATTAATTTAGCAATTTTATTGGACTATGATATGATTGACAGATAATTTTAATGCATGATAGAGTCATTGATACATAAGATGTGATCTACGCATGCTTCGGATGCTAATTGTTGAACCTTTAAACCGTTTCCTGCAAATACATGGTTTAACACTTGGATTTAAATTACTGAAACTATAAATTGTCTTCTGCAATTATTTGGGATGGTTTTTGGATTGTAAATTGCTAAACTGTTAATTGTATGTTGTAATTTACATGGTTTGGATGTTCGTTATGGAATCTTATATATTATTCTACAATTAATTGGATTATGGTTTTGAACTATAATTGTTGTAGCATTGCATAAACTATTCTGCAATTATTTGGATATTTGGTTTTGGATTGTAAATTACTTGCTTATTATTTATATATTGTAATTTACATGGATATGGAGGATTATATGCACCGGTATGGGACGGTGACATATTAGGTATGGTTTAGCTCAAAACGCTAATTCCTACCTTATGGATTTTAATTGGTGAACAGTTTTACCTGTTCAATCAATTATATGGATTTTGTGGATTGTATGCACCGGTATGGGACGGTGACATACTGGGGACAGACTGATTCAAAATACTCAGTCCTACCTAT